ATTATATATATAGTATATAGTATATACTAGTAGTAATAGTGAATTATGTAGTTGTCATCACATTGGTGATGTATTGAGGTATACACACAGGTATTGAGAGGTTTTTTTATTTGTTGGTTTTGTTTATTTTTTTCCAAAAATATAAATTGCTGCTACATTTCGAGCTTTAATGAAACCTAAGTTTCACAGGGCTTTTCTTTCCACATGTTGTTTTGCACTTTTTTTTTACATCTTTAGTAATACATATGAACAAAAGCAACAACTAAAAGTAGCCACTTGCTCCCACAGATGAAAATGCAGTTGAAAGGGAGAAAGCTGAACAAAATATAAATCAAAGAGAGGAGAATGAGAATAAAATTCAGAATCATATCACTAATAAACTGTTTCGTCTGCTAAGTAAAACGGCAAGAGATTACTTTTCCTTATAAAAGTAGACTTACTACTACTAATCTTGCTTCCCCAGATATTGATGAATGTATGATAATGAATGGAGGCTGTGACACCCACTGCACTAACTCTGAAGGCAGTTATGAATGTAGCTGCAGTGACGGCTATGCTCTAATGCCAGATGTCAGGACATGTGCAGGTAGGTTTTAACGTCTTAAGTTCTAGCATCGTATCTTTCAGCCAGTATGAACATGGTATTCATGTAGCCAATCCATACCAGACTGACAGAATTATCTGCCTTTTCCCCTCCCCCAGATATTGATGAATGTGAGAACAATCCAGATATCTGTGATGGTGGGCAATGTACTAATATTCCAGGGGAATATCGCTGTCTCTGTTATGATGGATTTATGGCTTCCATGGACATGAAAACTTGTATTGGTAAGTAGCTGTGTGCACCAAATTTAATGCAAGTCTAAAAAATCTGCAGCTAATGTTTTAGGATGTTCTGCTGAATCCTTGAAAGTGGGTATTGAAACTATGTATATTATAAAAAAAAAAAAACCCGGTAGATCTTTCTTCCCTATCACTATAGACATCAGGAAGGGTAGAAAAAAATGTGAAAAGTCCATAAAGATGAATCAAATCACATAGTTCCAAAAATAGGAGTGGTTTAATGGTAATGATATGATTCCTCTAAAACATGTCTATTGAGAAGAGATTATTTGAGTGCCCCAGCATTTTTTTCTGTCTCTTGTAAATGTTTTAATTTATTCCCTCAACTACAGAACGTTATCATGAGTAATTAGAAAGGAAATTAAAATAAAACTATTTCATCAAATTAACCTAACCTGTTTAGTTTATCTTGGTGTTTGTATGAAATTCTTACCTTTTACGTTTAATATAAGGTTTCATATGTTTCATATTTTAAGGTGGTTTTGGCTGTACTAGTAACATCTTTTTATATTTTCTGAGCATCTCTCGAACAAACCTTCACTTTGCACATGTGCACGCTTACACAGACACACACACTGAGGAGAAACTAGTTATACGTAATGCTGAGCAAAGCTGTCCTGAGCTTGTTTTGTCTCCTTTTTTCCATAGTCAGAGTTAAATTTAAGATTTTCTTTTCACCTTTTATGTTATTCAAGGTTCTTGTTTTCAGTTTTGCACACATACTGGATGTTTGTGCAACCAACTTGAAAGTTCAGAACTGATCTTGTCAATAATTTTTTCGTATTAGCCATGTTAGTAGCTGTAAAATCGGAATACTTCATTTTATACACAACTGCTCTTAAGTGTTCTTTTCTAGCAAAACAGTATCTGATATTAAAGTTAGAAACCTACAGTGAGACACTGAATTTCTGCCATGTATGTAATTGCTTTCATTGCTAACAGCAGCATCCAGCTTGTCAAAAAGCCTTTGGGGTAACTACAGTTCCTTACTGGACCTAATACTACTTTCAACAAAGTACTTGGTTTTTTTCAGCAGAAAAATTGGCAATATCTTGTATTTATTTGGCAGAATGTGAAATTAGATGATCTTTGCCATTTAACTAGTGTAAAATTGGAGCTGTTTGAATAAAGTAAAAAAGTTGACATAGTTGTAATTCATAATAAGATTATGTTTTAACTACAAGTCTTTAACCAGATCTTTAATTATAAACTATTTAGCTTTCAAATGAGGCAAATTCTGGAATAATGTTAAAGTCCTGTATTAAAGTTGAAAACTTATATTGAAGATTTAGCATGCAGTGTAAGAATCTAAAACACAGCTCAGGTACAAACCACATTTTCTTTAGGAAACGTTTTATTCCTATTGTTTTTTTAGAGTTTTAATGTTTTTTAGTTTTCATCATATATACAATGCACGGGAGACATCAGTAGCAAACTTACCTGTCTCTTGAAACTTCAGTCCACATCAAGGCAGCAAGTGCTGAGCAGTCACATTGTTGAGGTGTCTGGGGAGGGGGTCTGGCACAAGAGCACATTTACAGTCCTGATGCCCTGTTTTTCTTTGTGACTATTTCTTTAATATGGTTTTGGGAAGACTTTTCTGGTTGTAGCTAATCACATGTTCTTTCTGCAAGGGTCTTTCCCCACTACACCTACAGCTTGACTTCTCCTTGCATGTTACCTTTTTGGTGTCTTTGTGTCTTTGTATGTGCCAGAGAAAGCTCTAACTTTTGGAAGCATTTATTCTCAAGGGCATGCTCTTAATGTCTGTGCTCTTTACCCTTTCCCAAACTGGCTTTCAGCAACACCATTAGACAGTGGTTATTGACCTCTTCTTTCGTTCCTACTTAACCTCAGCTTTGATAGCCATTTTGATTTTTCTTCCTGGCTTGAAATGTCTTGAAATTTCTTTCAGCTTCTTTCACAATCAGAGGGGCTTTTTTTCTTGTCAGCAAGGAATGTGCCCCGCCACACACACATACACACTTGGCATCGTTAATAAAAATTATTTCTTAGCTACACATTTTCTAATGGCATAGCAGAGTGATAGATATAGGTCTGTACTAAAAAGCTGCCAATGATCCATAGGCATTCTCCAAAACCCAAATGGAAGGCTGTGCCAGAGCTACTTATAGTCATGAGCTACTAAGAGAAGGAGTTTGAAGTTTCCTTGTGGTGTTAAGACTTCTGCATTTGATACGCTTCATGGTTCAGGCTTTTCCAGTGATATTTTGGTAGAAGCTGGTCAATTCTTATGTTACAGGGGTGTCTCAGCAAGCAGAACTATAGAGGTAAGCCTGCAGCTCCTACACCTGAGGAGACTTAGAGCATGGCAGCTTTCCTTTGCCTTATAGTGTGACAACTGAATATACTAGGGAAATAAATAAAGGTTGCTGTAATGAGTATTTACAAATAGGGACTGACAAAATCAGCCCTGTTTTAAAATACAAAACTAAATTTTACTAAATCCATTTAATAACACATTGGCCAATGGTCAGTTCTTACACAATATTCATCATTATCACTGCACATACAAAACTGTTAGTTTTTAACAGTCACATTCTAAATTATATGCAAGTGTCAATACCACAGAGCTGTTACGGGTAGTTTGCATTGACTGGCTTCCAGCCCTTGGTGTTTCTTAGTCACAAAGGTCAAGGCAATTAGGGTTGAGCGTTTGTCTGCAAGAAGAGCTGGAACTGAAGTGGGTCCATCTTCTTTCTTCTCCAATTTTCCCCGCTTATGTTTTTATGCTGTTGCCCCCTCTAACAAAAAGGAGGGTCCCTTCTACTCCTTGTAGGGCTTAGCTTGTTTTCTTGTCTTGCCAGTCATTCTTCTGGTGTACCTGTGAGGTCTTCCTGCCTATCTGCAGTCCTTTGTCTGGAAACTTTTACAACTTTGATGTGTCCTACATGCAGCTACGCCCATCTTTCTTTGTCCTTTTGGCAGTCTCCTTGCTCACGTCCTTATGCAAAACTGTGTCTGGCTATAGCCACAATCCTTACACGCTATTGCTAGTTACACTGTTTTAGCATGTTTGTATTGGGGTTTAAGGCAAGCTAATATTAATTATATCCCAATTAGTACACTTTAAATTTATATGTATTGTGAGCCTCTGCTTTGGCTGCATTACATGTCATCTTACTTCACTCAAAAGGACAACCACAAATACCAGAAATACCTTTTCATCCACAGTACAGTGACTCTCTTTAATGTCATAGTATAATACTGTTAATTAATATCATTTCAAGGGACAAATGGAAATACTGGACTAGGTATTTTAAAAATTTTTGGGCCATATGGCCCCATTGCAGTATGACTCAGAATACTCATATGAAACTCCTCAGTTACCCACTTGACAGGTGCCCAATTCTAGTTTGTTCTTATACCAGTTTCATTGTTTCATAAGATTCAGTGTCTCTCCCAAGTTGAACTCTTATTAAAAAAACTGATTGAGTGTACTTTATTATTTTTTATAATTTTGACAAATGCTATTCAGAGGTATCAATACACCTGTATGTATCATTATTCAATTTTAAATAGTGTTAAAAATGTGCAAATTGAAACCTGTAGGTAATACCAGTACAGGAAAAGCAATCAATTTACTGTATAAATTCTTCTTTGGAAGACAATTATAGCTATATTATGATCAAGAACATATTTTTAAAAAATCCTTTAAAGTGATCCTTGCAAGAAGTAGTTGACTTCATAAGTCAAATAATTAGTATTCTAAACAAATTAGAAAACACTGTGGTATTTGGACTACACATTCATCCTTACTTGTTTTTAGGGAATTAAAAGAATGCAGAATGGAACGGCTGAAATATATTATGATGAAGATTAATAAATGCCACATGTTGTAGGGGTGGACCATGCTTCTGATATTTTCACATGAATGAAAGTATTCAAAAAAGACAGAAGTATGCTGTTAAATGACAGTAATGTTCAACTAGTAATGAATTTATGTGCACTTACAGATGTGAATGAATGTGATTTGAATTCCAACATCTGTATGTTTGGGGAATGTGAAAACACTAAAGGTTCCTTCATTTGTCATTGTCAGCTGGGATATTCAGTCAAGAAAGGAACCACTGGATGCACAGGTAAAGCAAATTTCCAGCATAGGTGTCGTGGTGTGCACATATCTTGGCTGGCTTTCAGGTAAAATAAATGCTCCAGTTTTCACACACGAGTGAGAGATTAGTATCTGTTCATAATGGTAAATATATGAATAAGTATTTCACATTTGTCAGCATGTATCCAGAGTTTGAAAAGGTACATTCCTTGCCTAGTATCGATATGATATGAGAGGCCCCTTACATAACTGTAATTTTAAAGGCAAAGCTTTTATCAGTATAGATTGGGGGAATATCTGTGGTATGAAACATAGCTGGGGTGCGCACAGCTGCATTTGTATTAGAAGGATTTTATCAGTACTCATATGTCATACATACTTACAGTATGAACTCATCTGTCCACTAAAGCTGCAGGAAATGACCCTGTTATCTAAGAACAGGACAAAAGGGAAAAAAAGTAAAAGAAAAGAACGAAAGAAGTGATGATGTAAAAGGGAAAGTATATGCCATCCTTCAACCCATGCTAACAGATTTTAAAGAAACATACTCAGTCAGTTTCAAACGCTACATGTTCCTGTGATAGTTAAGTAGTACCTTGTCTTCAAGCTGGCTCCACTGTGTTCAGGAAGCTAAGTTCATCCAAAATCATTCTCCTGGGAAAGCTGACAGAATCTGTCCTATAATTTGGTCTTTAAGAATCTGTTCTATAGTTACTAAAATCTTGGATGAATTATTTTTATAACTGAAATGTGCCTGTGCACCCAAAGGTTTCATCCCATTTTTAGACTATATATAAAATGAGCACATTTAATATGTCTGGAAAATAGCTTTAATTTCAAACTGGAAAGCAGTTGCAAGAAAGCAGACTAATTTTGTAATGTTTACAAACAAAACACAAATTGAAAATACAGTTGTCACTATTTTTTATGAATCTATAATATTAAGTAACTTGCTTGAATTACTTGGTAGACTTGAACATTTTTTTTTAAAGGACTGCCAACCTACAGAGTAGAAATAAGCAACATGTAAAAGAAACGTAATTTGTAATATTCCAGCGCTCCTGATGTAAATACTTATAGTTTATTTTGTGCTTGTAGACGTGGATGAATGCGAAATTGGTGCTCACAACTGTGACATGCATGCCTTATGTGACAATGTACCAGGAAGTTTTAAATGTAGTTGCAGAGAAGGATGGGTTGGAAATGGCATTAAATGTATTGGTAAGTATACAGAAAATAAACCTTTTCTATTCTTAATTTTTTCTTTTTTCTTTTTTCTTTATTTTTTTAAATGAAAACATGTCATATGACTGTGTGATTACTCCGTTAGATATAAAGTATTATTCTTCTGTCTGCTGCATTCTGTGGAGAGATGGTATGCAAGATTCTTATGTTTCAGGGGTTTGGTTTTCTGAGAAAAAAAATGGTTTTTTTTCTCAGAAGCCTGTCTGTATAAATCTTTCCGAAACAACTATGTATTTTACAAAGTTTAGATACAACTGCTAAAATAAATAAATTAAAAAATCAGTCAAAAATAAAATTGAATTTGTTTTGTGATTTCCTGCTAGTAAGATATTATTTCTGTTACTTAATACCATTTTTTGTAAATGTCCTGTAGTATATCTAGTCTATAGGCCTTAATATAAAGCGGATTGGGCTTGAGGTATGGGAAACTTGATTCTACTTTTGATGGGCTGCTAGAGTAGCATCATGTCCCCTTGCCTTCATTTTTTAGTTTGGTGTGTAAAGATTTAACTTTTTTTCAGAACATTTTGGGACCTATGGAAGAGGATCTTCATTTAAGAATTAGGCTTTATTGGTGTAATATGTGAAGGAAAAAGTACCATATTATGAGATTTTACTGCAGGCCAGATTTTCTAAGCTTTTTAAGCTATATCCGAGAAAAAGGGGAAGGCCCCCTGGTCTTTATTATTATCATTTAATTAAAAATATGTGAGGTTCTACTAAGTAAATAAAACGATGCATTTGAAGGCAAAAACTTTAAAAAGTTTTTCTGGCAGCATCCTTGTAGTTAGAATAGCTCCTGAGCATAGATGTTCTTCCAGGATACCACTCTGCAGATGGATGAGAAAGGAGTGCTGGCTACCCCATAGCACTAGCTAGTGTGACTCCATGACTATGTCATGGACGCATATGGCCATTCCCATCAAACATGTCCTTGAGGGGAAGGAAAGTCTCTTCTTCGTTCTTGTTCTTTTTAGGTTTTTTTTTAATCCAAGTTGACATCCAAGTAAATAAGAAAGCTTGCATTAACTTTCATGGGGTTACATTGTTGTCACATTCTTCTACGACTTGAGAAGACTCTCCAAGTGTATAGCAGATTTTCCCCTCACTGTATTTCTTTGGTTTATTGGGTTTTTTAACTCATTTTGAATTCAAGTTCTTTAACAGGATATTAACATTCAAGTAACGAGTCAGCTGAAATCCGTCTGTTGCTTCGAAACATTTTACCCAATCCCATGCATTTTAATTTAAGGGAAGAAATACTAAAATGAAATCACTGTAAGATCAACGCTGTATCTTCTAATGAGAACTTGGTATATTTATAGAGACATAAATCATCTTTGCAGTTGCGCTTGTTAGCTTGACAGTTAATTGTAAGCCAAGTATACTAACTGCTCTGTTACTGCTCGCGCTCTTTTGCCCCTGATGGGCAGATCTTGATGAATGTTCCAATGGGACCCACCAGTGCAGCGTGAACGCTCAGTGTGTGAACACCCCAGGGTCATACCGCTGTGCCTGTGCGGAGGGATTCACTGGGGATGGATTTACTTGTTCTGGTAAGAAGTTTCTGTGAAAGCTGACTTGTCACTGATTGTTTCTTTTGTATGGAAGCTTTGCAAATTAAATGTAAGCCCAAAGTGCAAGGCTTATGTAAAAGACTTATGTAAAAATGTCTTAAGATCAGGATTCTTCCCATTTACTGCAGAAATGCTAAAAAAGCAACTGATTGTTCTTTTAATTTGTGTGCCAAATCAGTCCTACTGGGCCCATTTGTTGGGTGAAGTTCCTCTCTGCCTCCCCCTCCTCCTTCTCTGCTTCCCCCTCCTCCTTCTCTGCTTCCCCCTCCTCCTTTTCTGCTTCCCCCTCCTCTTCCTCTTCTTCCTCTTCATGCCAATTTTTTTGAATGTGCCTGTGCTGCTTGGAGCAACAGGGGGCTCTCTAATCAAGAACCCAAAACACCAGCTCTCTGTCATGGTTCCTGTCTTGTAGGCCAGGTCTGTCTCTGGCAGGGAAGGCATCATCAGTTTTCCCCTCACTATGTTAGTTGAACAGGATTTAATCGTTAACATAGAACTTTTTAAAAAGAAAAACAAAATGCAGTTGAAAAATATTGCCCATGATGTCTGCATTTAAATTTGTTGGTACATGCTCACTATTAAGAATGAATGTTGTTTAGCACACAGCAAGTGATTCAAAATAAACTGATGTGTAAAGGATTATATAAAGTGTAAAGATTTTATATTAAACATTAATGGCCAGGTATTGAGTTACTGTGTTTTTTATCATTTATAGAGTGGAGATGCAAGAATATCTCTGCTCTTGGCTTCCAACATGTCCTGTATGTGGTCAGCAAATTTGAAGGTTTGAAGGAATGCATCCTAATGATAGTAAAATACCTAGAAACTAATGTAAATGCATTCATTAGTAGCTATCTAGCTAATTTTAAACCAAAATTAATTTACACCTTAACAAGATAGTCTTCTGATTATTATTGTAAGTGTCGGGGTTTTTTTTGTTTCAGAATAAGGATCTTCAAATATTATTTGTTTATGTGTTTCAAGTTTGTGGTTAATGAACAAGAACTTTCATCCATGTTATTAACACACTACATTTCAGATGTTCTGGTTTTTTTAAAATCAGACGGTATACTAGGGATTGACTAATAAAATGAAGAAGGTATATTGAAAAATTTTTTGAACAATCATAAGTATATCTGACAAAATTATGGGTTCTTGTGATGACTGCAATAGTGAATGCTTTCCTTTGTCATTCTGCTCTTTTATAGCTCTTACAAAAAAAAAAATCTCTTTTGGGGCATACTTGAAGAATCCCCAGTAGTGTGCAAATGGTAGTTGTAATGTTCATAGTCCTCAAACAATATTTTCTCAAATGCATATGAAAGTAATTTTCTGCATATGATTCACTGAAGAAAATTTTCCTTTTAGCTGTCTTTTATGTCAAAGTAACATAGCAATATATACCAGGAGACAAAGGTTTGGCTCTGTAAGCAATGTATTGAACTTATTTGTCAAAGTTAATAGCACTGAATCTGAAAATCCTGCATTATTTAAAAAAAAAAAAATTAAATCTTTTAATGAAAAACAAAGAGTAAGGAATCATGGCAGGGTAAACAGAATAATTTTGGAAATGACATTATGTTTGCTTTTCTGCATTCTTTCAATTTACTGCTTCTTCAGGTGTAAATGTTTTGTTTTATATCAACAATACTCAACAGCATTATTATTTTGAACGTCAGGATAATATTATTTGTATTTCGCTAGTGAAACATGTAGTTTCAAAGAAATGTTCTGTCTCCCACAGATGTTGATGAGTGTGCAGAAAATGTTAATCTGTGTGAAAATGGACAGTGTTTGAATGTCCCTGGTGCCTACCGTTGCGAGTGTGAGATGGGATTCTCTCCTGCTTTGGACAGCAAGTCATGCCAAGGTAAGCCACTGGTACTTCAAGTCTGTTTTCTGAGTTTGGATTGGCTGCTATAAAGCAAACAACAAAAAGTGCTGGAAGGAACTCAAAATGGAAGCAGAATATTCAGCACATGCTTCACATACAAGTAATTTCTTCAAGCAAGGATTATTTTGCAATGTGAATTATGCTGAAGGTGGCTTTCATCTTTTTATGAAGTTTTCCTGGCCTTGGTCCAAAAATCCCAGAGTAGAGGTTTGGCTCAGTAACTATTTTTTTTTAATTATTTCTCTTCTTGTTGTCACTAGTGAATCATGTGTGGAAAATCCTTCATCACTGTTTTATTTAGTGTGTTTACATAGGAGACACAAACTGCAGACCTCATTTTAAAATAAATGTTTTCAGGAAAATTGGAGTAGGCAAATCACTGCTGTATTTGACAAATTTGTAACACTCCTTAAAATGCATACTGGAGGTTTTTTATCATCACCCTTTCACTCTCAATATTGTACCGGATGATCTGAAGTGCAAAAGGAACTATTATCTTCCTAGTCCAATTCAGCTTCTATTCCCTGTTGTGTTCTTACGTCAGTTTTTTTTGTTCGTTTAGTGTAAGAGAAGTGTATATTAGATAAAGTCTTTTTAGCTGGTGCTACAAAGCTTTTTAACTTATTTCATATTTAATGGTGGAAACCTTATAACACCTTAGGAAATCATAATACTTGATGAGACATTAAAAACAGATTAAAAAAAATGTAGCCTCTAAAATTCAGTCCATAACTTGGCATGTTTGAACATTCAGGTATACATGTATGAATCAGACTTCTAGCAGTAGAAAAATTGCAGATGCTTCTGAAAAGTTAGCTACGCGACTGTTTCAGTCAGATCTGTTAATAGTTACCAAGTATTGTCAATCATCTTTACTGAATTTCTCAGTGCAGCTCAGTTAGTCATATTATAGTCATGCCAATGTTCTAATAAAATCCCCAAGTAGGTAGCAGCCAATCAATGTTTTGAAAAAACTATGATTCTAATACTTGGGACAGTGGGTCACCAACATTTTGCTTTTCAACTGGTCCACAACGATGCTCTGAAAAATAAACTGAAGAATTTTGGAAAAATGCTTTGTATGTTGACATATTACTGTGATTCCAACAGAGTTCTGAAAGCATTCCGTAGATTAAATTGTGCTGTTGGAGAAACTAAAAGATCTGGGTGCTGAATACTTAGAAGAAATTATCTTTTTTTTTTTTTAAGTTGATATATTAATTTGTCCTATGATAAGGCGATTCCTTGGCTGATTTCTGCAATCAAGGGACAAAATCCAAAGCCTGGATTTAGTACAATAATTGTAATACAAATAATTCTTCCAGTTTTTTTAGAAATTCCTTGAGATGTCAGTACATTAGCTTCTCAATGATACAGTCTTTTCCATAACTCTATAAAGCTTCATCTGAACACGTTATGTTCATGACCTGATTTGGAGGTCATTCCATGGCTGTACTCCAAGGTACTTAGAAACCTTCCTTTAATTTCCAGTTTAAATTTACTCAGGACTGTTGGATATTAGGCATTTATCTTAAATTTCATTTTCCCTTAAAAAGTTGTCTGTCTCCCCACCTCAAAAGTTATCCCTTCTCATATGTTCCTATAAAGAGGCATTATATCACTTCTCAAGCTTTGGCTAAGGCAAGCAAGCCAAGTTCAAAACAGGTATTTCATTACTTTAATCATTTTAATATCCCTTTATTACACTTCGTCCAATTTTAGTTCATCATTCTTGAACAGAGTACTGTACACAGAATTTCAATTGAAGATTTAGCTGTGCATTGTAAAACAGTATTAATACTTTCCACTTTCCTGTCTCTGCTAAAAATAGCTCACTAGTACATGCTAAGAGTTGCATTAGCTTTCTGTACAGCTGCTTTATTTTGGCAACTTAAAAGTCTTGCTATCAGACAGTATATGCAGGTTTTTTTCACATCTTATCTTTCTTACCTTCAATTCAGAAGTCCTTTATATTTGTTTCTAAAATGGTAACTTTGCGCTCTCTGCTGTTAATATTTAACTCCTTTTCTAGCACTGTAATTGACAAAGTCATCAAATTTTCTGTCAGTGTCTTTCAGCTATATTTCATCTTCAATTAACATGAGCACACACGCAGTCCTTTACACGCATTTTAGCTCACCCATATGTGGTTACTATATAACTGGTTTAATGTGGGCTAGAGAAAATCATAGATAATTCTTACTTCCTATATTCCTTTTCCCTGTATTCTTTCTTCAAGGAGATATAAGTAACTATCGACGCCTACTCCCTCTCTTTCTTTTCAAAATGGTATTTTGAAAATCTTACTTGCCATGACTAAGAACATTGCAGACTATTAGCTAGGAAATGACTGACACCTTTGTATGGTGTTACACTCCACTGTGTTCAATGAACATTTTTTTAAATGAACTTACTGACTTTTTGACTTCGCCTTTATTTTGAGTCCTGAGAAGTCAGTTTTCTATTTTTACTTCACACTAGGTGAAACAGGAATAAGCAGCTTAATGTAGAATGCCTCACAAATCCCTACCTGTAGTATTCTACACAAAACCAAAAGTGATTACTCAGTGTTGCTTTTTGAAATATTTTCTTTAAGTTACATGTGTCTTCATTTGCTTTTAGTAGTACAACACACTATTGTAATATTGATATGGTAATGATATGTAACTTTCTGTTCTTAATATATTCCTTCAGATATCGATGAATGCTCCTTCCAGAACATATGTGTATTTGGTACCTGTAATAATCTACCAGGAATGTTTCATTGTATCTGTGATGATGGCTATGAACTAGATCGAACTGGGGGAAACTGTACAGGTAAATCTCTTCTGTTCAGAAATATGTCAAGACTTGCTTTTTTTTTTTTAATTGCACCAAGTTAAGTTAAAGATGAGTTCACAGAACGTGCATTGTATTCTCTTACAACAATGAGAGTACATTTTTCCCCACTAAACAAGCAATGTACAAAATTGCATGCTTTGGAGTTGGTTTAAGAATGGAACAAAAAGAATGTCTTCTTAAATATGCAGCTGTACAAAAGTTATTCCTAAATGTTGATGAGTTATTAGTAGTTCTTTTGTTCAATTTCAGCTAAAATTCATTTGCATTTGAAATTTTCTTGCCCCTTATGTCTTAAAAAGTAAAATTACTCTTTTCTGTCCAGTGAGCAGATTTATAAATGTAACCTTCCTATTTTAGATATTGATGAATGTGCCGATCCCATTAATTGTGTTAATGGTCTTTGTGTAAATACTCCCGGAAGGTATGAATGTAATTGTCCTCCAGACTTCCAGCTGAATCCTACTGGAGTGGGTTGTGTGGGTAAGTAAAACCTACCTGAAGTATTACTTTAGACATCACAGCCAAGGTGACTGTTTTGATGCAAATGATGGTAGCAAGATAGAAAAATTATACTTCCACATGCTGCATATCCTGTTACATAGTTTTCTAGAGATGGAGTTCATTATTTTAGGTGATTAATGGTGTTTATAGTTTCTTTAAAATACACCTTTCTAAAATTTGTTGAAACATATATTATCTGCATTTCCATTCTCCTGTCAACAATTCTCATTCAAAAAACTGCATTTTTTAATCCTAGATGTGTCTTGGGAATGATTTATGTGTTTAGCTTAAGTCTAAATTGGAATGAAAACTGGTTGTAGTACCCATTTAGCTGGAAACAAAGTAAAAGACATGTTTCACTGTAATTTACGTAATTCTGTCTGGCTTACAGAGACTTAAAGCGAATTTTCATTACTTTTGCCTCTTGCTACATGATATAGGACTGTCATGTGATTAGAGTATATACTAGCAGTCTAGGTAAGTTTTGGGGAAGAGGCAGGTTGAGAGAGGGGCTAAGGTTCAGCCATAAGGATTTCTGTGTGATCCTGGAAAAACCTTCCAACTTTTTATTTGAAAACAACCTTTTTATTTTATTACCTTGGGAAGACAAATTCTCCTGAATTAATGTTTGCAATAATACTACAGTGTGGTGGCAAATAAATACATTCTAAGCAAATAAAATGCAGATTTCTTTCAGAACAAATTTTATTACTCATCTTTTCCATGTTTCTCCATTTTCTGCCTATGAATATTCTCTGTTGCTTCTCTGGATGCTAGAAACCAGTCCTGTTTGAGACCTTTAGATGTCCACAGTCTTGACTAGTTTATTCTAAAACTTCGAGCTGAGATTTTTAAAGATGAAGTGAATTTATGTAATCTATTCCCATTGAATTGGAAACCTGTGTTTCTGTCTCCCATAGACTCTTCTGACAATTCCTGCCTTAATACTTTTCTTCTGCAGTTGCAGTCTGACTTAAGCTTTTAGCTTTGCCTCATCTGAAGATTCAGTTGAAGCAATGAAATCCTGCCTTTTTGGCTCCTCTTCTGCAGCATGACTACTAAGATCCTCATTCTTTCCTACAACCGGATGCTATGTATATTCAGCTCTGCAAGCCCTGAATTTAAAGAATTTAAGTGATCTCTGAAGAAGCTTATGAGAATTAATTATCCTATTATGCTAGCTGACATGTATTTTGCTAAAAAATGGTAGTTTGAGTTGGCACTCTACTTTGGGACCAGTTGTCTCAATGACATTTTTGGCAGGGGTCCCATGTTTCTTCAAGGAAAAGCCTTGTGGGAAAGCCTCCACAGTGGAAGGGAACCTACTCAAGGGTAAATGTAGCAACTCCAGAGTCCCGAATAAGAGAGCAAGCACTCCCTCTCTGAAGAAAAGATGTTGAATAAGAAAGTGGTAGAAAAACTTCTTGACCCTTCCTTATTTCTGTCCTGAGGCAATACTACTAGGGCTGTCCCTCTCTCTGGTACAAAGACCCTTTTCCTTTCCCTTGTCTTAGAAGCATTTTTAGTTTCTCAGTAACTGATTGTACAGAAAAGAGACTCCGAAGACTTGGCCCCCTAGCAAACATGGGGTTTTTGGTTGGGTTTTGGGTTTTTTTCCAAGTTCAGTTTCAGACGACGCCAGAACTAGAATCCACTTATCTGTCTGTAGGAGGAGCTGCAAGCTTCAGGTGTTCACTTTCCAACTCTCTACAGCCTGATTCTATGACAAAGTGCAAAAACCACTCCGTGAACATTCAGCTTTTGTTTTTGACAGGAGCAAGCAAAGCCTTTGCTTCCCATGAAATATCAGAGTAAGATAATAGAAATAAAGTCCTAATCCATGAATGAAATGACACTTTAGTGCCTGCTTTTTTAGAAGCCCTTGAAGAGATGGGGCACCATGTGCAACTAAAAACATATTAGTTAGACTATTTTATACAATTATAGGATTGTTAGGTTTTGAACTTTTTTTCTTTCACCAGCAGTTCTCATTTGTAATATTTCCAGAGGGATAAATGATTTTTTTATGGGAAGCAGAAACAGAGAGAGGTGCTGTTCCAATGCAGCTATACTAGTTCTGGTTCTAGATTTGGTATGCTTTGGGTATGTCTACTTTATTGACTTACGCAGTCCAGAGAGGGAAGAACTGAAGCTCAGCTTGCTTGTGATCCTTTATAGTCTCAGAACTGCAATTCCAAATTGCAGCTTCACTTGCAATGATGTTTGTGTCACTGGCACATGGTAAAACATTACCCAGTTTTCACTCTAAGCTTGTAGTCATTTGGGAAAAAAAAAACCAAACCCCACAGAGGCTAGTAGACCTCACCAAGAAAAAGGAAAAGTTTCTTGCTTCTGGAATGCACAAGTTGTGCTGAAAAATGTTCCAGAAACGTCTTGTCAATGGACAGCAGCTTCTGGTTCTCTTCAATAGCACTATCTCTTGCACACTTGAGCAAAATGGGCAGAGGAATTTGAACTCCAGTTTCTTTCAGAAGAAACAGAAATATTATCCTTGGCAAAGAGGAACATGGTACTGTGTCATAGAATCATAGAATCGTTTAGGTTGGAAAAGACCTTTAAGGTCATCCAGTCCAACCATTAACCTAACATTACCAAGTCCACCATTAAATCAATTAAGGGTAGAGTAGCAATTTCGTGTTTCCTGGCTTGGTGGCTGGATTATTTATAATGAAAGTAAAAACTAGGAATCACTAAGACTGGAAAGTGTCAAGCCAGTTCATGTGAGGAGTAAACCAAAACCTAAAACTCTTGATGGACTCAACATCGATACTCTGTGAGAGAACTCCAGGATCTGCCTTCATTCCAAAGTCTATCATCTCTTATTGTTCTTAATGGGCCTGAGGTCTTGGGCTGAAGCCGTCCTCCAGAATGGTCATTGTTTTTCACTTTTCTCAGGAAGAATGAAGCCAAATCTCTTCTTGGCTTCTCTTAAAAAGGCAGATGTCTCATGCTATTATGAATGGAGAGAAGCATGCAGTTCCTCTGCGAACAGGAGGAGATAGGTGTTCTCAGAATAACCACATTTGGGTCGTTTCAACTCAAGTCCGTAATAAGAACAACAGGATGTGCCGTTTTAAAAAGGCAGTTCATTTTACTCTCCTCTAACATTGTCTTAAAAAAGCCCCCCAAAAAAGGACTTCCACTCTAGCATATGCTGATCAGTGATCCCAGGTAAATCTTGCCTCTAGGGAGACAAAGATATCCTGCTTGAAGTTTATTCTCTCTCCATCAGAGGCTCAGAGGTATAGAATACATATGCCTCTGCCACTCAGTTTTTAACTGAGTACTTTAGCTTTACAACAGTGTGCATTTATGGTGAGATACTGAAATTTGTTGTAGATTTTGTGGCACCCAGGAACACTCTACTTTTTCACAATCTCTGCTACAGTATGCTCTTAAAACTGTGCAGAAAGATTCACTCAAACTTGTCTATTAATGCTTAAATTTGAATAAATTTAAATCCTTTGGAAAACTTGAAAGTTTTTTCTTGATTGTTGTTAAGATCCTTTAAAAAAATGTTCTGTCTGCAAATGAATGCGAAGTTGCATTTTTATATTATACATATTTAACTAATTTGAGGATCTTGAGAACAAGTAGTTCCTAACAATTCAGAAAGTTACCTTCAAGTTTTTTTCATAGATACAACCAGCCGGGTTAGCTCAGTTGGTTAGAACATGGTGCTAATAACTCCAAGTTCACAGGTTCAGTCCCTGCTTACTGCAGGGGGGGTTGGGCTCGATGATCTCTCAAGGTCCCTTCCAACCCAAAGCGTTCTGTGATTCTGTGATATGTCCCAAACCTCAGGATAATTTAAAAACCCATGTCATATCAAGACTTTTTTTAAACTCTGGAAATTTTGAAAGTATGAACTACCCACATTTGTCATACTGTGTTCATTTTAGTCCATGTAAATTGCTAAGGCTGTAGCATCTGGTACTTGCTGCAAGCTGTAAATTAAAAATGTGATATTTCTTGGTAAAATACACATTTGGGAAATAATTCAAAAATTCATTTAGAAGTTTCTTAGTCATACCATTAACAGAAATAGCAAAAATACAAAAAGATGCTGCGGCCTTTATACAATAAATTTATAAGAAAATTCTTGAATGTGTTTCTGTGCTTCTTTAGAGGCAACCTTTGATAGCAAGTTAATTCATAGAAATGATCTTTAGAATTATAACGCTAGTCTTGAAGAAATTAATGTTCATCTTATTTGGCTGTAAAAAAAAATATTACAATAATTGACTATCCTCTCATTCCTTATATTTATGACTCACTGCTAGTTACTTTCCATTTATAAAGAACAAGGAGATGCTATGTGCAGCAGTAGGGAAACTCACAGATTTACTTCTCTTAGATTCTTTGCTCATTCTGTGGATGCCAGCAGTTGTCCAAATCATTAAGTTGCCATTTCAGTGAGTTAATAAACTAATTTTCCTCAAACCTACTGCACATTTAGATTATTTGTTTCAATATTCGTGATTTTTGGAGCATTTCTTTGCCAGTGGAAGAATTCTTCAGTGTCATGACTTTGTTCTGTGATTCCATAGAAAAATCTGTAAATCTTTCTAATTCTACAGGAAAAAGTCATAGCCAAGTCACAATCAGAATATGGAGAAGAAGTACTAACAGCAAACTGCAGCAAGGTTTCTGATATTTTCTGGAGTGAAAGACTGGGAGTAGTGTATGTGCTACATTAGAGTATGGTGTGACTTTGGAAGACACGCAAACATTTTAAACTCTTCTCTGGGTACTTAGGAAGCTGAAACTACCCATTTTCCCTGCTGTGTCTCTCAACATCAGTAACTGTCAGTGTACATGAGTGTTTTGGCTTGCCAGTGACTTCAAAAGCACAGTGTTATCTGAATTCCTGCTTCTAGGTATGAAATGTTCAAATGAATGGCTGCTGTTCCTTTGTCTGGATCATTGGGTTCAGCTGTAGTCATATGTGCTTTGTATGTAGATAACCGTGTTGGCAATTGCTACCTGAAGTATGGACCACGAGGGGATGGAAGCCTATCCTGCAACACGGAAATTGGGGTTGGAGTCAGTCGCTCCTCTTGCTGCTGCTCTCTGGGAAAGGCTTGGGGAAACCCCTGTGAGACTTGTCCCCCCGTAAACAGCAGTAAGGAAATGTTCTCTTATTCTCCCCCTCTCCTCTTATTATAGAAGATGCTAACAAGGGATGGAAAAAGTATTTTAAATCTTTTACTGTATTATTATACATGTGTCATTTAAGAAACTGATTTTCTTCATGAGGCAGTGTTCTGGCACAGTTATAAAAGAAAATCTCCCTGCTGCTGTTGGACGGGTGGGGCAGAGGTGTGGACCTGAGAATACAGGATCACAAGACCTGGCCTTTAGTCTTCTGTGACTGACTTGGTGCCTATTCTCACAGCAATAAATCAGTGATAACTTTAGAAGGCCCTTCCCATTGGACCAGGCCTATGTACTTTGGGTAGTTTTGGGCACTTTATTTTATTTTGCTTTTACTTTTCTCCCATTACAAAAAGGAATAAGGTAGTTGCAGAAATATGTCTTAAGAATGGAATCGATTGTATACATCTACTAAGGATTTTTACTCAGCAACTCCATGCTGGTAGGGAAATAAATAAATTAATAATGCTTAGAACTCAAACCATGCCTTTAATTTGGAGAGCTGCAGTAATTCTCGAAGAACAGTGTTGGTAACTGCTGAGTAACTACTTCTAAGTCACTCTTGAGTACTTTCAAAACTGTTACCTGATGTAACTTATCAATTTTGTAGAGCTCTGAAGCCCTTTGAATGAATAATGCAACAGAAATGTCAAGCATGTTGTTCTTAACAGTCTCATAATATTATTAATTCAAATTTTAACATATATCTTTATCGACATTTCATATTAAAGAATTAGTCAAAAGGCAAAGTATATGCCTTTATAAAGGTACAGCATGGAGAAAACAACATTGTGTTGTTCTTAAGAGTATCTGAGGTTATGGTAGTGTTTTAAGTGGAACTCTTAATCTTAACTTGATTTTCTACTAATCTAATGCACTTGCTTAATTTACTGTGAATGGCTCAAGAAGAGTAGAAAACCAGTGAGTGTAGGGAAGAAGGCTCATTAAAAACACAAATTAAATTTTATGTTTCTGTTGTTAGCATTTTATTCTTCATATGACTGACATGCTCTCTCTTGTTAATGCTTTACTTTAGCGGAATATAATACTCTCTGTCCAGGGGGAGAAGGATTCAGACCAAATCCCATCACTATTATTTTAGAAGGTGAGTTTATCATAAATGACTGTGATGGCTGGCAATAAAAAAAAGTGTCGTCTTCAGAGAGATGTATACAGGAACTATATTTTGCAGAAATCATTACATTTAGTGCAAAGCAAAACCTTCTGCTAATATGAATTGGACAACAACATGATGAAAAGACATACTGTAAAAGAATATTGAAGAAGTCCAACAATATTTCAGCAGAAAAATAAGCTGATGCATACCTTACTTGAATTGGCCTTTGAAATTGGCCCCTGAAGGATAAGTCATTTATGAAAATTATAGCTTATCAGTGGAAGCTATAAGTTTCAGGAAATATTCATTGGACAAAGAAACTCTGTTTCCAGTGAGTGTGCAGGAATGAGGAATTAGATGCCAAATTCCTGTAAACAGTAATGGAAGTTGAATTCCATGGGCTTATCATGCTGAAACGTGCTACTGAAGAGCTATTCAAATGGAAGAGAATGAGCATCTCATCCATGCTTTCATGAAGTGCAATTTAGAAGCAAATAAAAGATCCATGTGACAGTTAAAAGCTACTAGTTGGTAACATTTCGGGGGAGTACTTAAAGTCTCTTGTTTCTTTTCATTCTGGAATGAAAATATGGTGGGTGTTTTTCTCTGTTTTCAGACATTGATGAATGTCAGGAACTGCCAGGTCTCTGCCAAGGTGGAAATTGCATCAATACTTTTGGCAGCTTCCAGTGTGAATGTCCAAAAGGCTACTACCTCAGTGAAGAAACAAGAATCTGTGAAGGTTGAGTCCCTTGAAACCTCCTTCTCTACCACAGTGCAGTTGTTATGAAAAACACTGTCATTTTTAGCCTTAAATTCCTAAGTAGATATGGTACTCACACCCTTACCCAAAATCTTCTCTAAAATCATTATCTTTGGCACCAGTGATATGATTAATATAAAACTTGAAATGCAACACTTGAATATACTAATGTTTATTTCTACATGATAGATCTCAGCTATGTGTATTCAGTAAACTAACATGGTTATACATGATTTCTGGCTTCTCACTGCAACACCTTGTATCTCCTGCTAGTTTCACTAGGCTCCCTGTATTTTCAGTGAGAAAAGGTGTCATCTTCACAGTATTTCAGAGTAGCAGTTTGATTTCCTCAACATGAAGTAAAGTTAATACTAGTCTTCCTTTTGTGTTTGAGGTTTGTCATAAGTGTTAGAACCAAAAATTGTAAATAGACACAAAAATGTAAAGAATCTTTCATGGTTTCCCTTAGTTTGGAGTGTTATAAGTCAGCTTCCACTTCTTCATTCACTTTGTGAGGAAAAAAAAAATTTACTCCTTTCAGAACAGAGCCTGTGAATCCTGAGGCTTTGCTAAGCTCGCGTGAAGAAAACTGACCAAACTGCATTTGAAATTAAAATTGTATGGGCAAAAAAGGCTTACACCTCAAATAGCTTAAATAAGAAGATCCAAGGTTAGAGCAGCAAGACTATGTGATTATTCAGCTTGCCTATTTGTAAATAGAGTACTTAAAAGGTCATTTCTCAACAGAGTAGCGAACACATTAACAGAACTGAAAAGTGACTAACATTGCTGTGAGAAGAGGGTGCAAACGTCTTTTGTGGAGCTGATGGGGCACAAGGTGCCCCAGTTTCAGTGGTAAATTCAACAACTGAATTTATTCAGGGTGTTCCCTTGCACTTCACTGGCTGGACTTAGTGGAGGTTAACAATATTGCTTTTCAGCAGCTGTTACAATAACTACTTAACCTAAATGTGCGCTGTACTCTCCGTATTAGCCTTTAAATGAAACATTTTTGTTATCTTAGCATGTTTATTATAGTCATATTTCTCAGAAACATTTGCCAGGACTTGGTTCTCTTTTCCCTTGTTAATTGTAGTGTTTTCACTTGGTCTCTAGATATTGACGAGTGTGTTGCACATCCTGGTGTCTGTGGTCCTGGAACCTGCTACAATACCTTGGGGAACTACACCTGCATTTGCCCACCTGAATATATGCAGGTGAACGGAGGACATAACTGCATGGGTACGCAAAATGTCATCTTTACTAGAACTGTCTGAATATCAGACTTTCAGGGCCAGACTCTCTGCTTAAAATTTCTTTTTGAGGCCCGTTCTAAAGCCTTGTATTGTTTTTCCTACCTTTAACTCCCAGACAGTCATGTCTTGTAGCCAGGAAAGAGATCCCAGTGACTGATGTGTGGTGTTCAAGTGCTCTTATTCCTTAACAGAACTCAGAAATGGGTTTTTTTGGTTTTTTGGGGTTTTTTTTTCCACTAGTGATTTCCAAATGGTAAGGTTTACTATACAAATGGATCTGATGAGCATCTACAGTGTGTTTCTGATTTCTTTGGAATTTTCCTTTTTTCCTTTTCTGTCTTTGAATGAAAACTGAAAATATGTCAAATATCAGGTAAGTCTAAAACAAACACTGTAGATTACATCAATCCTTAAATTATTTTTAAGTGCATCCATGCATATGCTTGGGTTGCATTCAGAAGCCAGAGTTAATGAACCAATGTCCAGGTTGGTAGGAGGTTGATAATTACTTAAGTAAGTTTGTTGGTTACTTCGTAAGTGATTCTTTTCTCACATCTAGACATGAGGAAAAGCTTTTGCTACAGAAGCTATAATGGAACCTCCTGTGAGAATGAACTGCCCTTCAATGTGACCAAAAGGATGTGTTGCTGCACATATAATGTTGGGAAAGCCTGGAACAAACCTTGTGAAGCATGTCCAGCTCCAGGAACAGGTAAAGCCTACTATAATCATCGCATTTTGTTACTTTCTTTGCTCATCTGCTCCTTTGACCTGTTAGCTAAAGTTAACATTTCAGCCCCAAAACGCCTTTGCTGTACTCCCAAAGCAGAGTGACAATACCCTGCCATCCTGCTACTGGATGGATTATGTCTTGGTGTGCTAAACAAGAATAGGTATTTCTTCCATATTTTTAAGTGGAAGAAGTATCACTCCATATTGAGTGGAAAGATGCAGCTTGAATAGTTTGAAGGCACCAGTCTTTCCCCGGATGAAAAAAAAATTTGGAAGAACATGCATATTTTCCCTCTCAGCTGCCCCTGAAGGCAAGGGCAAGGGAACAGACTGCTGTCAGGTGTCACTGAGATGAATAAAAACGGCCTGCAAAGTACAAACTGACCTTCCCATCAGCAACAGGAGTATGTCAGCCCTGTAGCTAAAAGGATGTTTGTAAGACAGGTATCTGTAGGTAGATCTGTCCTGGTTTCGGCTGGGATAGAGTTAATTTTCTTCCTAGCAGCAGGCATAGTGCTGTGTTTTGGATTTAGTAGGAGAAGAATGTTGATAACATGCTGATGTTTTTAGTTGTTGCTGAGTACTGCTTATGCTAGTCAAGGACTTTTTCAGCTTCCCATGCTCTGCCAGGCGCACAAGAAACTGGGAGGGGGCACAGCCAGAATAGTTGATCCAAACTGACCAAAGGGCTATTCCATACCATATGACGTCATGCTCAGTACAGAAACGGGGTGGGGGGGGGGTGGCCAGGGGGCAGCGATCGCTGCTCGGGAATTGTCTGGGTATCGGTCGGCGGGTGGTGAGCAATTGCATTGTGCATCACTTGCTTCGTGTATCATTATTATTATTATCATTATTATACTGTTACTATTAGCATTACTATTTTACTTTATTTCAATTATTAAACTGTTCTTATCTCAACCCAGGAGTGTTTCTCACTCTTACTCCTCCGATTCTCTCCCCCATCCCATCGGGGCAGGGGGAGTGAGCAAGCGGCTGCGTGGTGCTTAGTTGCTGGCTGGGGCTAAACCACGACAAGATCCAATTATTTAGACCTTTTTTTTTTGGTGATGGGGCTCTATAAAATGAGTATGCTGTGGTTATTTTATTCTTTCTTTCTAACAAATTCCAAGGCTTTCAGAGGTCTTGTATGGACATAGAATTACTTTCAATTTACATCAAAAATCTATGTTTGCGTAGGTAAGACCCACCAGGGTGGCACAGTAGTCATAAGCAAGTTTTCTGAACGAGTAATTACAGAACTCCTATCTCTAAAGCTGTCACTTTGATGTCTCTGGAAAAGCAGTCATCAGGCAATAATACTGGAGTTGAAGATACTGGTTGACAAGAGGTGCCCGCTGCCTGGTCTGTCTTCCAGGATAATTAATTTAGGATATATTGTTTAGTTATTGCATGGTTGCGGATACATGTATCCTGGTAGTCCTAATCTGACAGAACAAAAAGATTGTGTTTCATTATCAAGTGTATTGCCTTTCTAGATTTTTCACTTGTGTCTCACAACTGAGAGTGATCCTCTCAGTTGCTTTTACATTTTCTCTGTTGAAGGTGATGAACTTGCAAAAGCTTAATAAGCAGGGCATTGTAAAGGGAAGTAAAAATTCCCTTCTAGAAACAGAGGTGAAAATAATAAGGTACATTTCTTTTTCAATTAGCCTTTATGGAGTTTCTTGCCTGGAACAAAACACCCATGAAAGCTCAACTCAGAAAAATCATTGGTGGGAGAATCACCAACTTGGAAACCCAACAGTAGCACCTGGGCTTCATTGAAAGATTCTTATATTTGTAAAAAGAGCAAGGGTGCCTAGATAAAACTAAAAAACTCAGGTGCCTGTTTAGTACAAACACATTTTATTGTTTAATTGACTTTGCCCCAAGTTTACTGCCATTAAACCCATACCTCTTGTGCTGCATCATTTGTGATGTTAGTGTAAAGAATGTATTACTTTCATTCCAAGTGTTTTATCCTGGTGACATAAGGGAAACAGCAGATAATTTAGGAATGACTTTCCCCCACAAGCAGTAAAGAGGAGGAAAATGGGACTGAAAGAAAAAACAGCCTCTTCCTTTTCTTTCTTAAGTAGGAGGAGGGAGAATGAAAGAATGTTCCTAGCAATCAGGAATGGGAGATGGAAATAACCTTGAAAGAGGAAATACATGTTTGCTATCACAAAGAGCTCATAAAATTCTTTCCCATAGTAATTTATCTCTGTGCCATAAAATTGTCATCCTGATGACAACATGATGAGAAAAATACAGCAAAGTACTAGCAGGGATTCATGCAATTAATATTCTTGGATAGAAGAAAAAATTCTCCTTTTAAATTGGTAAGACTGCAGTTCTCAAAAACTTTTGCAGTTTGTAAAGATTTGTTAAGACAACTCCACCTATTTTGCAAGCAGTTATGGGGTTAAAATATTTCCTGAAATATTTCAGTTATGCCTTGTTAGCTCTTCTAAATGCCTTTACTGTATTTGGAGACATGGTTGAACCTTTTCCACCATGAAAAGAGATTGCATGAGGGATCAAACACAATTCTGAGTGTAAGTGATTGAATAGCTGCATTTAATGTGGTATAATCTTTTGTTCTGAAGTCTGGGTGGGGGCTACACATCACAGACAGGGGTTATGATACACTGACCTTAACCAGTTTGCTAGACTGAGCTGAGTAGCTCATTAAGAGCATTATTCTGCTCTGAGAATTATATTGTTCCTCTAAATGAACTTCACATGCCAATGCATTTGCATTTTTTTCCTTTGTGAACAGAGCTTTCTTCCTTTTCATATATTTATACTTAACAATCAATCTGTTCGATGACTCTAGGTAGCAAAGACTGTATTGCTTGGTTTTACACATTATACAGATCATAACCATTACCATACAGACTTTAATCAGAAATAATCATTCTTGTTGGTTTGTTTTTTCACACGAAGTGTAAAAAGCTGCTTCACTGCTAAGAGGTAACCAAGTATTTACAGAACTCTTTCATGGGTTAATCATTTCAGGAGTGCTTGACCTTGGAGTGGTTTTTTCCTGTTACGTGATAGATATTTTGTCCTAAAAAATAATATAGTGATGACTATATGGGTTTTTGAAATATTTTTAAAGTCATTGATGCAAAGTCAAGCTTTCAGAAAGTAAATCTCTGGTGTGTTTGTGTATGGGTAATTTGGCACTGTGTATAAATGCATTATCATACAGTCCTTACCTAATTATGTGCTCTTTTTCCACACAGTAGAAAATGAAAAAAATATGGAAAACCTCTATTAAAATGGAATGCATGGAACATGTAGGTAGCATAACACAGAATGAAAGCAGGCCCACAACCCTCAAAGCCTCTTCTTCATCCTCCCAGACCTGATGTGTTAGGTGTTACCACAGGAATAGGTTATCATAGCCCATGGAGACAGGGCAGTGAACACAAGGCCCTCTTTTTATCTAGCATGTGTGTTTCGCAGGTTTACTGACAGCAGTAAATGGTATAAAGCTCCTTGGAAGGAGCTGTTTTCTAACCCTCAAATCCTGCACATGTTAATATAAAAGAGCAGAAAATTGCTGGATGGTAAAACACTGTGGCAGGGACCTCTATGTCCCAGTATCCTGTACTGCAGGTATAACCTCGGTAGGCATTAAGCAGTCATTAAACAATAGGACAGAAGAAAGAAGAAAATGCTGAAGTTCAGGTATACTGGATCCTACTTGGCTTATACAGGAAATAACAAAGAATGTTTGAATGTGAGAAAAATATTTTGCCAAATCTGATTCTGAGCAATGATCAACTACATTTGCTGAAATGTTAATAAATAAGAATGTTTAGTGTAAGGGAGACAAGAATTATTCAACTTGTAACCCCAGTGGTTAAACTTTACAAAATTACAAGCTACAGAAGAGCTGCCATTAAAATGTAGACGATCAAGAAACTCAGACTGCAGCCAGTAGAGAAATAAACTATCACTGCTCTAGATTAAAGATCATTACTCACAGGAAAACAGAAGGGTCTCCTTTCTCTTGTTCCGGTGCTAGAAGAGATGCCTAATAATTTATCTGCATTTGAGGTTTAGAGTTGAGTTAAAGATAGACACAATATGCTTCCTCTCATTGGATAGATAGTAGGCTTCCTGTGCGTCCTCAGCAGCATGACCAGTGGACCAAGCACTCATGAAAGTCTGCAGATATTGCACTTCCAGAACACTTTTGAATTTTTTGTCAGTAGGACATTTTTGTAAATTTTATCCACGTTCTTTAGAAGGATGTTTTACCTTGGCTTAATGCTCTGAATATACAAATACCCACCACATGCTTTGGAATTTTTCCCTAACTATAGTTTGGAAACTTAATATTGGAAGATACTTACTATTTTTCTGGAGAATTTGAATCCTGATACGATCTAAAAAGATGCTGAATAGCAGCTGCATGGTTATTGTTTGCAAACACACACTAAAAGCAAACTGTTCATTCAAACCGGTTGTGTCTTCACATTGGAATTATTTTGCTCCTCTCAAACAAGTGGGCTTTCAGTACACAGTTCTACCGGTAGATAGTATTTTATAAATTTGACATAGTTATAGTTGTAAGCCTGTCATTTTTCATATTTTTACCTATATCAAAATTTATCAATCTACTATAAATGTGTAATACATTTTTTTCTGGCAAGCACTGTTTTACCAGTAAAATCTCATGTCAGCATAGATGCTTTATAAGAAATACTTTTTTAAAAGCAGTAATTATTTCTTAAAACCTGCAATAATTAATAGATTCCATGCTAGAAATTTTTCTCTATATGTTGCAAATCCACTTAACTTTATACACCTTGCCTGGAAAGCCATGTGTTCACTGATTTTTATACTTCATACTGTGCATTTCCCACCCTCAAGATGCTCTGGAAAAGACACTATACAATGAGCATGCTAAAACAATGCTCTTTTTTTTTTAAAGTAGAGTGTCCATTCTGCTCTACAGTTTAGTGGAACTAAGCTGTAGTAACCTCTGCAGAAAAGAAGAAAGATAGCATTGTCAAAGAAGGCTAGGTACTGGTGAGTTACATTTATTTCTCCTGTCTGAAACTGTAGCTGCAGATTCTCTCTCTAGATGTCTAGAAAAGAGGAATAAACCTTAAAAGGTAAGTTAAGGAGTTCTATTGAAGTCAAAAACCGAAGTGCTGCTTTCGCAAACTAGACATTTACTCGTGTGAAAGTCTGCAAAGATTTGAGAAAAGAGAAGTATTGAGAAAACAAAAGAAAAGAAAAGAGAATATAATTAGTGTTTCAATTGGTATTCATCATTGGCAATCTGAATTTTCAATACAATTTGTACAGGAGAAAATGACTCTTCTGAGTAGATTTGGCTTGTATCAGCTCTTGAAGAGCTGAGAAGACTACAAGTAATTCTTAGGAGATTTATAAATATTCACTAAAAATGCATTGTTCTCTGTTTTGCTCTAGCTGAATTCAAGAACATATGTGGGAATATTCCTGGCTTCACTTTTGACATTCATACTGGAAAAGCTGTTGGTAAGTTTCACTAAACTTACTTTAACCAAAAATTGTTTTGCATAAGGTTGTTGCAGCTGCATAATGGTACCAAAATGAACAGTTCATATAATAAAATTCTAATTTCATTGTGGAGTTACAATGGTGACATAAATTGTGAGACCAATCTTTGTGTAAAATACTTCGGATATATATTTTTTTTTTATTTCCACATTTTGTTATATCTTTTGCTCACCCTCCATCCTAGTTCATGGTTTTGAGTTTTAATTGTAAGAGAAAAGATTTTGGCTTCAAAAATGTTGTGGGACTCTACCTGCATACTTGTAACAGTTCTGCATCTTGTCTAATACTTAGTATTACTCTGTTGTGATCACTTCCTGAACTTCGCATAGTTTATTTTCTCTCATAATGGGCATATGTTTAGATTGGTATCCTGTATACAATTTCTGTAGATTAAAAGGAACTTCTCAGCTCAGTTTTAAGCACAGTGAAACTGAGAATCCGAGCAGTACATAGAGCCATGAAGTACTGTACTTTGACTAGCTCATCTCACTTTCAGACATTGATGAATGTAAGGAAATCCCAGGAATCTGTGCGAATGGTGTTTGCATCAATCAGATTGGCAGCTTCCGCTGTGAATGCCCCACTGGATTCAGCTACAATGACCTGCTCTTGGTCTGTGAAGGTGATTTGAAATTACGTTATTTTCTACCTAGCCCCCATAAGCATGCTTCTTTTAAAGGGAAGGGGAACATTTAATTAACATGTTATTCAAAATCTAAGAGACAGACTGTGAGCTTTTTTTGTAGGGCTCAAGTCTATAAATCAGTTTGTGTCATGTTTGTCTTTAATGCATATGCACTTGCACTTAATAAAATTTGTAGTAGTTTTGTGTCAAGCAATTCACTGACTCCTAAATTAGTTAATTAATTTATTAATTAAATGCTCTTAAGTAAATTAAATGCTCATTTTATTTTATTTTAGGGAAGAAATTTAATTCTTGTTCTTAAAACTTCTCAAAGAAAAGTTTCCTTGATTTTTCCATCTTGTGTCTGTTCTACAGTTTTATAGGTAGAGATACTCACAGAAGCTAATAGTGAAATTTTGTGTGTCCTAAAGTCAATATGAGTTTTGTCATTGGTATTGAAGGGTCTTGTGCTGACAAGTGCACCTTAAAAAGCTAACACCCTGTGCCACTTAGTATTTCAGTTCAAAGGCAAAGAGGAACATTTTTTAATTAAAAAAAAATATTTTCTTAGGCAGACATTTAAAATTGCAAAGCTGCTTCAGTGTGTAGTAAGTTGGATTCATAGGATCCTCCTTCATCTAAAAAGTGTGTTACGGATGAAATTGTATTGATTTTGCTTTTCATTTGCATGTACAGCACAGGAGGCTGAAGGTCAGAATATTCATGCTTTGTTGAGGGCAAAAGATTCATCTTGCACAAGATGGACAATACAGTCTAAATTCTAGGCAGAAGTAACTATCTCATGGTTTCTGATGTCTGAACCATGACTCTTGGTATTTCAGATATTGACGAGTGCAGCAATGGAGACAATCTCTGTCAGAGAAATGCAGACTGTATCAACAGTCCTGGTAGTTACCGCTGTGAATGTGCTGCTGGTTTTAAACTTTCACCCAATGGTGCCTGCGTTGGTAAGAAATGGGTTGACTTTTCTCTTCTGTTTAAATCTGTTTGTACCTAATCAATGGTATGTGCATGATTCTCTCGAAGGGTAAAAGAATCATTTATTTTCTGTTACCTTGTGTATCCTGCTGTTATATGTAACAGTTTTTACTTTATAGCCCTGTTTCTCTGTAGAAGGGAAGAAAAGACAGGGTAAAATTTTTATAGAACATTCTTGATATTTCAACCAAATTCTAACAGTAGTTTTGACCTCGAGATGTATAGGCAAGAAGTTCCTATAAAATGAAGTTTTGTTATGATTCAGGTTTAGTTATGGATAATTTTGAGTCTGGTTTTAATAATAATAACAGATTGTAAAAACACATTTGTGTAAAATGAATTAATAATAAAAGTCAATAATGTGTACCATCTGTTTTATATTTTTGTTATAGATCGCAATGAATGTCTGGAAATTCCTAATGTTTGTAGTCATGGTTTATGTGTGGACATGCAAGGAAGTTACCAGTGCATATGTCATAATGGTTTTAAGGCATCCCAAGACCAGACTATGTGCATGGGTACGGAAAGAAAATGCTTTTGTGTGTGATTTGTTTGGTATTTTTTTTTAAAGGGGAAGGAATGAGTCTGAATTTTTGAGAAGATTATAGTGACATTAAAAGACTGATTCATACATTGTTTGGATTTTTGTGAATAAAGTATGCAAAGTTATCCTTGGAGTGGATATATTAGTTTGAGGAAAAAACCACAGTATTCTCAGAGATAGCTCCAAGTTACTGAAGAATATATTAACCCCATTTTCACAAAAGTACATCATAGTGGCTTATTTGACAGGGAATTTTACACAGCTATCACAGATTGATAAAGTTTGGAGATTAAAAAAAAAGACGTTTTTCAATTATTTAGAAATTTATTGAGTTCATGTTTCATTTAAAAAACAGAATCCCACGTTTAATGTAACTTAAATCTATACTCATTTTGTATTAAAATGATGACATGATAGAGATGATATAAGAAATAAGAACATTGCAAAATAAGTGTTTTTCTTGTTCTTTTAGTGTTTTGTAATCAATTCTAGAGGGTTTTAAAAAGAAAAGGTGATGCATATGTGAATTTGGTTCTCTTTGAGAAAAATAGCCATAAAAATTATTTTGATTTTTGAAATAATGATCCTCTAAATGCCAGTTCTAAGCTATAGAGAAGCTCAGTGTCTTCTGTAACATAGATGAGTTCCAACTTCAACTTTAAACAGACATGTAAAACCTATTCACATTGGATTACACACTCATATACACCCTGAGCCTTCTCGTATTTGGACAAAATCACATTTGTCAGACCATCTGAGGAGGATATTTGGGAAAATGGCTTGTGTTAACAATGCAAAATTTTGAGAGCCTGCTTACTCAAAACAGTAACATAGCATAAATAATTAATAAGTAACTTAAAAAAAATAAAAGAGGGTAGATTTAGACTAGATACAAGGAAGAAATTTTTTATGATGAGGGTCATGAAACACTGGAACAGGTTGCCCAGAGAGGTGGTAGATGCCCCATCCCTGGAAACATCCAAGGTCCAGTTGGATGGGGCTCTGAGCAACCTGATCTAGTTAAAGTTGTCCCTGCTCACTGCAGGGGGGTTGGGCTAGATAATCTTTGGAGGTCCCTTCCAACCCAAACTATTATATGATTCTAATTCTAAAAATTTCGTAGTATGAAATACAAATCTAGACAATGACAGGTTATAGAAATGATCCATATGACAAAGTGTTTACCTTCTGTAAATAACTAAAATGTTTCAGAAAGTCCATAGAGCTAGAAGAACAAGATCTAAATACCTTCCAGATCCCCGTGAAACTCCAGAAATTACTGAAACAGACAGCAGGAAACATGGAATTTTAGTGCCTTTTAAAAATGGATGTTCCCAAGAGTTTGTAAGCAGTCTTTATAATTCTGGATGTAGTATTGACGTAATATATTTACATATGTAAATTGACTTGTGAACAATGACACAAAACTCCTTTATAGAGCGTTTTCAACAGGTTTTCATGGGCTTAAGTGTAAAATATTTACATAAAATTTGAGATAGTTCCAGGGTTGACGCTTTGTACTAGTACTTTGTACTAAGTTCGGATCACTAGTGTACATTAAGAAATTAAGAAATGTTAGTATGGAAAATAAAAAGACAGAATGCTTTGAGATACTACACATGCACTTACTTTTATCTTTTCATGTAACAGTATATTTATTTTAAAATACATATAAAAAATGTGTCATGTAACATTTTCCTGTGTGTACCCAGAAGATGTAAAAATTGGTAGTATAAATAGAAAATGTGACAGATGAAAGGAGAGACTGAGGTTTAGAATATTGTCACTGTGCACAGATAACACATTAACACATACCTGGGAAAATCAGTTCCCACATGCAGTTTTGTTTCTCTTTGCAGATGTTGACGAATGTGAACGCCATCCATGTGGAAATGGAACTTGTAAAAACACGGTTGGATCATATAACTGCCTGTGTTATCCAGGATTTGAATTAACTCATAATAATGATTGTATGGGTAGGTGATGTAATCCAAACTTTATTTTCATTGTGCTGGCTTGGTATGCCAAGGAGGATGGTATATAGTTAAAACTCAAACAGAAGACAGGTCAGGGTGCTCAGAAAGTTAATTGAGTGCAGTAACGGATACTGTTACCAACCCTAGAGATTAATCATTACTATCATTTTTTAAACTAATTATAAATATTTTTTACTGGCCAGCTTGAGATAATGTAAGCACTAAATCTCTGGACCACTCGGGTAACCTTACAGTTCACTGACATTTTTAATGCAGCCCTTACCTCCATTAGATTCCCTGGGTAATTACAGCACACATCCTTGACTACCAGCACGGTCCACAGGCACCACTCACAATAAGCACCACCAGTGTTGCCTCATGAATTTAAAACCATTTCTTTATTTGACCGTATGATTTGACACTTGCACACAGTGTGAAAGAGGAAGCAGGCCAGCAGTAAGAAAGCCAGTACAACTAATCTACCAAATCTGCTCTCTTAAGGTGAACTCTGCTTTCACAGATTTTAGGCAGGCATTGCTATTTCCTATTCCCTAAAGCACACGACACCAGAACATCTGGTGGTTTTGGACCATTTAAATTCCTGGATACTTGTGATAAAGCAGCTAAGGTCTTCCTGGGCTGAAGAACAGGCTCCTAAGTCTCTGGAGATCTTCTCCCTGTGCAGAGCATAAGCCAAAGAGAGGAAGGCTTTACATTCCTTCCTGCTACAGAAGGAAGACAGAACAACTGTCTGGTTACAACTTGACTGGTTCCTTTCTGGTTCAGGAGAAAACTAAAACATCTTAAATAAGTATTTTAAATCCTCTCCTTGTCCAGGAAAGAGAAGATTAAAAACTTGTTGCAGTAAGAGGAGTCTGCTGCCAAAGAATGACACTATTTGCCAAGGAGGTTTTTTCCCTTGGCAGTATTGCTGCCAGTCTGCTGCCAGGAGCATCCAGCACCTCTGCTCCAGGCTGTGCCTTCAAGGAGGCCAAGGAGCCCAAGCTGACTCAGAGACTTGGCCTTTAGCACTCCTCTTGACAGCTTGGAGAGCCTCAGGGCTTTCTTCCAAATTATCCCAGTCATTCAAAGGCAATTTAGCCCATCCCAATATAATACTTTGGAGGTATTTCTGCTTGTAGAACTGTAACACAGAAGAAACGCATTATGGAATAAACTAGTAACACAGGCATGGCTGTACTGGCTGAAGCAGAAGGTACGTCTTTTTCAGGAGCTCGTACTTAGTGCTTCTGAAGAAGACTAAAACCTTGTCAGTAAAACTGATGTTAGTCTTCATCATTCAAATTCAAGTATTGTAAAACAGTGAAGTGTAAATTGTTCTTGCACCATGATGCTTATCCGATTTCCTTTTCATTTATTCTGAGACTTGCTCATCTGTATTTTTCCTTATGCAGTGCTCCTTTAAGTCTGCAGTATTGAAGTAACTCTACAAGCTAATAAGCATTTCCAAACCTCATTTTCAGAACTGTTATGAAGGAGAAAATCATCCTGCGCAAAGAAAATTACATATTCCAAAACTTGAAAATGGCACGGCAGGTTTTAGGAGGAAACTCGAGCACATATAAATCCAGATAAAATCCAGAACACTCCATGTAACATTCTGTTTTCTGTGTCTGGAGTTAGTATCATACAGCCACTTGGCAGTAATTGAATATCGCCAGATGCAGTAGCTGAGGTAATGCTGCAAGTTTGAAAATTATAATACCCAATAAAAAAGAGTGTTGTTTAAATAGAACATATACCTTAATGCACTTGAGTGAGAGTTACTTTCCACCAGCTGTCAGCTATTCCCTTGTTGCTGCAAGATTTGCTTTCTCCACAGATTTATATATTTTGCAACTTGAGCATGTTTATAACAATGTATATACTTATGCTGGACTCAGTTCTCACTTCTGGGGTTTTATTTTGTTTTTTTAACAGATATCGATGAGTGCAGTTCCTTCTTTGGCCAGGTGTGCAGAAACGGACAGTGTTTCAATGAAATCGGTTCCTTCAAATGTTTATGTAATGAAGGATACGAACTTAATCTAGATGGGAAGAATTGCATTGGTATGTATGATACCACATGGAGATTAGCTAAAGTACTGATGAGCTGAAATAGTCAAACTATTAGCTCCCATCTAGAGGGAAGCACCACAGTATGAGTATCTAAGTATAAAAAAAAAAAAAAAAAGACAGTGACTTTAATGAAAACACAGTAGAAGTAACTGGGTTTTGGAATAGTTGTTGATCTTCAAGCATTTAAATGCCTTAGAAGAAGAAAATTAGAAAAGAATCCTACAGTCTTTTTCATGAATAAGCCTGTTTTGTTACCATAAGAATTACATGATTCTAAACCTTTCTTGATTCTATCTGCTCTCCAAAGATACTAACGAGTGTGTGGCACTACCCGGTTCATGCTCTCCTGGTACCTGTCAAAATTTGGAAGGATCATTCAGATGCATCTGTCCACCAGGATATGAAGTTAAAAGTGAAAGTTGCATTGGTAAGGCCAGTTGTAATTTTTGCTTCTGAACAACTTAAAAATTAGGAAAAGTATCTGGTTCTAATTTGGTGGAAATTAGTTGTACACCCTAGTGTTTGTGAACGTTGCCTGACTTAAAATCGTGGTGATAGGGGATAAGTAAGTAGGAAAAGTCTTCAGGAAGTTTTTTGTCAATATCATTCTTAAAACAAACCAACTGGATTTATATGATGTTTACAGAAAGGTAATTATTTGCAATCAATGCATGAACTCAGCTTCTGGTTTCCAAGGGCTGTGAAGTTTAAAAATCATGATAGAATTGTGGTGCTTATGGGAACAATTGTTTAAATTGGTTTATTCTAACAACTGTTTTCTGATTTCATGTTTTGTATAATGTCTCTCAAGTGCTGAAATTCATAGAAGGAGGAAGAGGGTACAGCAGACATTTCATCAGTTTGCATGTTCTTGTTTGTTCATATAAGTCTCATTTACAGCTTTGAATATCATTCAGGAGCTGAATGTCACACAGTGAATTAAGATTTCATGTGGCAGAGAATGAGAAATAAATCCAAGTTACAACTCCCTTTTCCAGCAGAGCAAAGCACAGGACTACTGTGAATTTATTGGCCATTTAAATTAACTATGTGGAGCACCTGGCAAGGAAGGTGCACGCAACTAGTTTTAGGTACCTAACCTAGAAGCCTTAGGTTTCTGCATGGTCAGAGGACAGAGTAAGCACCTGTCACTCCACTGTGACTATATTAAGAAACCTCATTCTCAGCTTCAATGACTGCAGTTAGCTGGTGTGACACCCCAGACACACATTCATCCAAATAACTCCCAATAATAAATGAGCCGCTTGTCCTTGTATGGACTGAAGAAAACACTGGCAAGGACATAAAGATTTGGCCTATGGCCACCTAATCTGTATAAGTGCAGGAACTGGGTCACAGAAACCTTTTTGAATTTTTTTCTTGAACAATAGGCTGTATTTTCTAAGCCCCAGAGTTCTCTCATCTTTTTGTATCATACTCAGTTTGCATGCCAGCTTCATGGTTTCTTTTGGCAGCTGCTGCTTCTATATTAGCAGTTATGTTTGAGATGAATTCAAATCACCTGCAGTTGTAAAATCATGAATCTAAAATGAAGCTTTTGGTTTTCCAGGAATATCACTGTTTATGGCCACTTTAGTATCCTGACAGAATCTCTTGATCTTTTTGACAGCATCAGTGACTGCCAAACAGATTTTTGCCCGAACGGAGTAAAAGGGACTTAATTGCATTCTTTTTCTTCATTCTGCCATGTGTCCAGAAAATTTGAAGCTAAAGTTCCTAGAAAATGCCTGGATAATCATGTGTAATTTTCCTAATACTTTGATTAATAGCTCTTGCAACATACTTTCCCCATTACTTTCTATTGCTCTTATATGCAAACAGCTTTATAAGAATTCATTACTTCTGTTTGTAATGTGAAGGTTTGCAATGGCTAGATTACTTTTTGAACTTAGGGTGATTATATGCAGGAGAAAACAAAACAGATGGGAGCCACAGAAAAAATCTTAGTTTTCACTGACCCATTTAATATATTTCCTTTCATTTTATGGGAATGAAAGGGAGAGGACTCATTTACTTCCACAGTCTGGCTAGTCACCTGTTCATCGTGGCCACAAAAAGAGTTTCTTCCACTAGTCCCAACCCATTCATTACAATAATAATCAGTACTTCAGAAGAGCAGTTTTTCCATCCCATCAATGCAGCTGAATTGCTGAGCTTTGTATGTTAGCAACTGTCACACTAAGTGGGAAATTAATTACCTTTTTTTCACTGAAATAAGCTGACTTCTAACTTCACATAGTAAAAGCCTGTCCATGGGAAGCTACTGCAGAGTTTGGTCATATGCCAGATTATGCTACAGTGGTTTGTTCATGTGCTATACCTAATAGTAACTTCTGAAAATGGGACTCAAGGTAATATTTTTCAGAAGTAACATCACAGAATCTATTCCTACCTGACCTCTTCCTTCACTCCACTTATATTTTCCTAGTGATAAAGACTGTATTTCTATTGTTTCCTTATCTAGTCAGTTTTCTAAGATTCAGTATAGTAGAATACAAAAAATATCAGGAAAAATGGCACTACAAATTTGTGACTCAACTTCCATGAAGCTTACTTTCATGGACTATACCTATTCCTCCCTACACTTTGATTAAGATTAATATGGATATTATTGTAGAACGCTTATACAGCCATAGGTCTCTGTGATGGTTCTTTTAATATCCCTTACTGAAAGACTCAGGAGGGGTTGTACTGCAGGTATATCTTTGAAGATTATTAAAATACACTTCAGAATTTATTAAATTATAATTACCTTTACAAATTACTTCAGCAAGAAGGCTTATATCTTCTGTCAGTATTTGCAGAATGCAATAAATTAAAATATAGTTTGAAATAATAGGTATGAAAAATTAAAGGTCTATTAATATATTACTTTTCTTACTCCGTCTGTTGTGTATATAGATGCAGGATATGCAATCTGATACTGTTTGAGGTCCACAGTTTTACACTTGGTGTTTATGTTAAGTACTCTTTTATTTTGGTTTAAGGTTTTAGTAATTATAAAAAGATCTCTATTTAAAAAAGCTTGAATCTCACATTTAAGTAGACATAGCAATATATTCTAAATTATGCAATTGAATAGGAAAGAATTTTAAATAACATCTCAAGAATGGCTGTGGAAGACTGGTAAATATAAATCTGAATATACAAATACAATCATAGGCCTCCCTCTACTAATAACTAGCTATAGTTTCAGTTCAAGAATTGGTCAATCAGCATGAAAAAAGCCCACCTTTAATTGCAAAGAATCCTCAACATACAGATCTCTAAAAATGCATCTTGGGTGCTTTATTGGAGGAGCACC